GGTGTATTTTTTATAAAAGTAAAAGTTTTATCTTAGAACTGAATCACTAAACCGTAGCTTAGCGGTTATGTTGCCTTATAAGGAAAAGTATATAGGGATAAATCTTTTGACAACACTTGACAACTGCAAATAGTATCAAATCTGTGGAGACTGTGGCCAACCTCTAAAAACACGATGATATACCCTGCCACTCTGTCTATCGTTTGTGAAAATAGACTTTCAGCTTTCAGTTATCTCTTTATTCACAGAGTATACAAAATTAGCCAGTCATAGACGGGTATATAGTGATTTGTTGAGGTGCTGAATTATATCTTAAAAATAATAAAATAAATGTGTTTACAGATACCTATATGTATATTATTATTAATGAGGCTAAACGAAAAATTTTCTTATAATTGCGAAATTAAAAAGTATAGTATTGTAAAATATATTATGACAGATATTTATTGTGACAAGTAACATTCGTCTTTGCGAAAAGTTCTAACGTCTCTAATATAATTCATAGTTTCCTTTTGGGATAGGAAAGAAACCTAATAAATTTGTGGTCATTAGGTATTTTTTTTTCATATCAGTGAGACGTGTAATTAAATCTCAATATAAGAGATGTTCAGACATGTTTGTAAGTTTTTTCTTCTGTAAGCAGTCCCACGTGTACATATTTTTATAGTAGAAAATTTACTAAACTAGTCTACAAATTGACATAACAAATTATAAATACTATTGTATTTTAATAATTCGTAATATTTTGAATTTAACATGATGCATCTTTGTAAGTTGTGGCGACGCTCAAGGTTCTTCTCTTCTTTCTAAGTGGAGCATAGAGCTTCAGTGAAAACGCGCCATCGGGTACTATTTTGCGCTAAGACGTTCACCTCATTCCAAGACTTTCCTTGATCTCTTATCTCGTCCATTATGGATCTTCTCCAAGTTTGTACTAGGCGACCTCTTTTTCTTCTTCCTTGGGAATTCCACCCTAAACCAAATTTAACTTAAAGATGCAGTAGCAGTAAACAAACCAAGACACATTATCAACATTTAGAATTTTACGAGGAGCAATCCCAAATCATGATTTACAATATATAAACGTACATAATATCCACGTCATAAACTATATAAATAGACATCGTATACGAAACTCAAGTATTGACAGCATACCATATCATTTGGTAGTCCTTGTACGCGGAAGAATTGCTATAACTTATTTGGACCACTGTTGTTCTAGTGATAATATTTTAGCCAGGGCGTGCGTCAGAGAATTATTGCTTGAATTTATTCATTTATAGTTATAATAAATGTTATCATTTATATTTTATGATCACAAGAATAACAAAGATAAAATCAAATTATTAAATGTTATAATAAGGTTTTCCAACAACATAATAATGTGAATTCGTTATTGTAATGCATTGAATTAATAAAATTAAATTAAATATGTAAAAATTGTTTTAAAATTAAATGTAATACTAATGGCGGTTTCCCACCAAACGGACAAAATAAAAACAAAAACACAAACTCGTGTCCAATAAAACAAAATAGCAACTTTTCACAAACTTTTTAAAGACTGGCGTGTTTTGAAACAGTTCGTTTTGTTTTTCGAGTCCCGAGTTTTTGAAACTCGAGTCTGTTTAGTGGAAACGGTCAGTTGTGTATTAATGGACTACCTCACCTCTGAAGTCACAATGGGCGGGGCTTCGAAAACCTTTCTAAACATTTCTACACTAAATACAAGATAGAGCTGCAGTAAGTATAAATAAACCGTCAACAGTATGAATGCTACGAGGGCACTCTCAAATCATGATTTTAACGATGTATAAACCTATATTTTCCTGTGTTATGAAATACATATTTAAATATGAAGTAGACATCGTAGCATAAGTTGAGGTCGACCGTATGATTTATAGTCATTATATTTATAGTGATTATTGACTCAAGCAAGGCCTCTGGTTGAGTTCAAAATAAACAACTGATTGAATCCTAACATGCAACTTAGAAAATAAAAGGGGAGGGGATAACGATTATATTAAGATATACAAAACAAACAAGATGACTATCAAAACGGCACTACACAGCATCTTCGTTATTAATGGACGTATAGTTACATACGAGATATCATAGATGGATGGATGAAAATGGATTTACTATAAGACAAATTTTGATTTATTGAATCAAGGAAGGCCTCTGACTGAGTTCAATATAAACAACTGATTGAATACTAACATTTAGCATAGAAAATGAAAGGTAAGGGAATAAAGATTATATTACGATAGACAAAACAAACAAGACGACTACCAAAAGGGCGCTACACAGCATGTTCGTTATTAATGGACGTATAGTTACATACGAGATATCATAGGGCACTATGGATGAAAATAAATTTACTATAAGACAAATTTTGATTTATTGACTTCAAGAAGGCCTCTGGTTGACTACAAATAAATAACTGATCGAATCCTAACATGCGACATAGCAAATGAAAAGGGACGATATAACGAATCTATTTAGATATGTAATTGATTTTCTATCTTAATATATTCGTTATATCCTTTCCTTTCATTTACTATGTCGCATGTGAGGATTCGATCAGTTGTTTATCTTGTGCTCAGTCAGACGGAGTGCGATTAAGAGCTGAGTTCATGACTGGCAGCCCCGTTTAAACCAGAAGCTCTTAGATATTAATACTCATAATTTCAACGCAATTTATGAAGTTTTTACTTCTGGCGGCACTTCTCCAAGTGCAATACCTTATTTTTTATAAAATTTTTGTTTATGAAAACATTTTAAGTTAAGGTAAGTAGGTATATCTGTATTCAAATTTACGAAATTTATGTAAAATGGGATATCAATTTCTGTTAACATTTGTAATCTGGATCACGTGAATTTGATTGTTTTTCAAATAAAAACTGAAAACATAATAATAAGTTACTACTTTTGATGCGAACTAACACATAATTTACTTTAAAAAATAAGTGTATTTGATGTTTCGATTTCGATCATTTAAATGTCAAAACAACGTTGCAATTACTGCTTTCTTATTTTTGTCAAACCATAAGTTTCTTTTTATTTTACAGTAGGGAAGCTAATTTTGAATTTCCTTGAAAATAATACTAACATTGTATATTTTATCTTCGTTGTTCGTAGTAAACGAATCTTTAATTGTACATACTGTTTTATTAATTTGATAGGAAATAGGAAATATAAAAAGCAAAACCGCACGCCTATGGAGTCTTACGTAGCATAGCCTGGTTTAGTTTACTTTTACTGCACGTCGAATTTGAATGAACTGTAGGGCAATCTTTGCAATACTGCCTAACCCTCTTATGGTCGGTGGACCTGTGGATCCTATGATCGGACCTAACTCTCAGGTCGGTGGTCAGGTGTAGTAGATCTTCGTTTCTGTTAAGGCCGTATGACACTATGCATTTTCTTGTATCATTTCTTATATCGTTTCTGATATAGAAAGTTATTTATGTTTTCTTGTATCGTTTCTTGTACGTACATTTTTGCCCTGTATGACACTATGCAAGTTCTTTTACCAGAAACTGTATGTGATTTGGCACATGATTGGTCGAAATTTTGACACCTATAAAAATAGAACTGCAGTACCTGAGGCACCGAACAAGGGCCTGAGGACCCCAAGCTACTGGGGAGTGAAACATATGCTACTGGTTATTTTTAAAAATACTGTGGTGCAAAAATGAAAGAAATAAAATGTCCCAATATGAAAACTAAATTGGAAACCACAATTTTTGAAGATATTCAACAGGTTGTAATGGAAGACAGAAATAATAAATAATTTGGTTGTAATAATTTATTTGTTTTTTTTTAATTATGTGTTTGAATGGTATGCTCTTGAAACTCTACTCTCTTATTTGGAGATATAAAATAATTTTTAAACTCATCACGAATTTTTAGTGCGGTTATGTATTGTTTTTAGTAAAACATCTCCTTCTACTTTCAGTAGTTCCGATGCTATTTGATACAATCACTGTGATTTATTGTTTTTCAATATGGCTACTGATGTTCTAATCTTGGTTATTGTTGTTGGGCACTTTTCTCTGATGTCTGCTTGGCCTAATTGTATGTATACATCAGAGATACTTACATATCTCTGGTATATATCAAAGTTCTTCTCCAGCCATAGAGAAATAAAAATAATTATTATTTTTATTTCTCTATGCCTCCATCGGCCAATATGACATGAAAGAAGTTTTACGTTTTAGCGGCTTTGCGCACAAATTGGCGCATTTCTTGTACAAGAAAATGCAGCGGACACAAATTCTTGTATCGTTTCTGATATAAGAAACTATACGCCTGTATGACACTATCCATTTTTTTGTTATATCAGAAACGATATAAGAAATGATACAAGAAAATGCATAGTGTCATACGGCCTTTAGGCCAAAGACCATCTACTCTACTACTCTTGGTGTAAATGGTCTTTGCTTTAGGCATCGAGCAAAAAGATAAAAGAGGGAATCTAATCGTTATGAAAAGGAGACCAAAAAAGTGGCCTCTGATGGCGGACATATCCGGAAATGCAAAGGCGCTAAATTTAAATTTTCCAACACTTGTTAACAATACCTGTAAAATATTTTTCAGACAAGAAAGTTTTAATTAAATATCAACGATAATAGTCTAAAAAGTGACATAATTGGTAAAAACTTCAATATAAATAAAATTTCATGTGACAGTTGGGACAAACAATAACATAACCAAACTAAATTTGACTTCTTAAACAAGGAAAGAGACTGTCTTTCCTTGTTTAAAGTGGCCTCTCAAGATAGCACTTCCTGTCTAACAATATTTTTGTCCCCACTACCTTTACATTCCCTCTTTTATCTTTTTGCTCGATGGCTTTAGGCCAGAAAAGACGAATGGCGACGCTAAGCGCCAAATATTGTCTACATGATCTCCTACATGTCCTTGATATAGACACAAACATACAAATATACATTCCAAAAAGTACAGACAGATGGCTTTCTAAAATAATGACAGTGACAGTTTTGACATTCGCTGGTATGAAATTTCTAACCATTATTTGGAGTCAATTATCAATATTTATATAAATTTAATAATAATTTGGATAACACAGTGCTTGTTTTCAAATATGTGATTACTAAGTAATCAATGGCGACTGCAGATCTATCAGATCATGAAAATCAATATAATGTTAGAGAGATTGACTATGAAGAAATTGAACAGCTAGAGGTGAGTATTTTTAATGTAGACATTAATGAGTAAGATTATTATACTCGATTCTATTAATTTGTGTTGTTCATTATATGTATCTCTACAAATTTCTCACTTTTGATACTCTTGTTACACTGTTATAACAAACAATGGAATTCCATGATTTCCCATGAAGTTTATCTTTCTAGAAGCTGTGTTCTTCATATTCGAGGATGTCAACAAAATAGTTTTCAGGAATTATTTTGTAGAACAAACCACACAATAATCTAGTATCTATTTAGATTTATTGTATCATAGAAGTAAAATTCTACTGTCTGTATTTTTGTGATAATATATGACATGTGAAGACTAAGAAATTCATATATCTACTCAATATATTCCAGTCCCACTCTTTACCAGGACATTAGCCTCTTTATTTTCAATAATGTTCTGTCTGTTACATTATAGGAATAATATTTTTGCTTCAATAATTTATATTCTTAAAAAAAGAATTATTAAGTGCTAGTTGTATGTTATTGTGCTAGCTGTATATTTTTAGGATAGTGATTGGATAAAACCTTTTCTTATACCTCTTGTGTTTATTTTTTGGGTTTCCTGTTATTGCATTTATACTGTTACTTTTTAATTGCAGTGTAGTTTGGTCATTGTTTATATGCCTCTATGATGTATTTTTGCATTTTTATAATTGTGTTAGTTGTATGTAGTTGTATATGGCTTGTCCATTGTAATGTCATATTTATTAAAGATTTAATACAATGTTGACAGCTATTGAAAATATGTTTTAGATTGTAGGGGAAGGCAGTTTTGGCGTAGTATATAAAGGAATATGGAATAACACATATGTGGCTGTGAAAAACATTACTAGAGAAGAAGAAAAAAAGGCATTTTTAGTAGAAGTAAGGCAGTTATCTAGAGTTTATCATGAAAACATAGTGAGATTATATGGAGCTTGTACCAAAGGCATGCACTTTTGTCTAGTAATGGAATATGCTGAAGGTGGATCATTATTTAATGTTCTACATAGATCAGATCTGTGTTACACTTTTGCTCATGCCATATCCTGGGCATACCAGTGCTCAAAGGTAAGGTTTTTTCCGATTCCCAGTTAAAATATTGTAACTTATCAATTTGTATTCATCTTTTGTAACTTAGTAGATTTGTTTTTGTTAAAAACAATGCTAGGCTGTTTAACTGTCACTATAGAAATTCAATTAAGCAATGAAAGTTTTTATGTGGAAGGAGATGCTAGTTTTATTATGATTTTCTTAGAATCTTGTTAAATATGAGACTGCTAAGGGTGAAGATTTTAGTTTTGAAAGTTTTTTTCAATTTTTTTATTAGAATGTTATATAAAACACTATCAAAAGCTTCAGATAAGTCACATAGCACTAATCTGGTACTAACATCTTTATTTTTTCTATTATATGAATGATATTATGTGTTATTGATTGTGATGTAAACCTTAAAGATCTGAAACTATGTTGTTTATTGGTCAATTGTCCACCTTGTTTAAGAAAATCAGTGAGTTGTAAAAATTCCTTGTTCCATTAATATATTTATGATATGTACCAATGGTTTGCTGATAATATGGTTAATTTCTTTAAAAAGTATGAAATTAATGTTTTAACAATCCATGCTTTTAGAATTATTTATTGGTACAATAACATCTTAAGTACATACTACAACCAAAATGATGTATTGATAAGATTAGTAAGTTTTGTCTAGTGATAAGGTCAAAGTCAGGTGCTTTCTTTGGATATATGTTAGTTTTAATTTTGTCAGACACTTCTTTAGGTGAAGTGAGTATAATTGTTGTAAAATTTTCTGGTTCTGGTTTCAGTCTTCAGGATCCTCTCCATTATTCAGCTGTAAAGTCGCCTATACATTTTCTTTTAAGTTTTCGTTTATCACAAATATGGTCACTAATTTCTTTTGTGTAATTATTTTCTTTTGTTCTAGGAATAGTTTCAGGAGTATTATTCCATACTTTGTGTTGGATACTTCTGACAAAGCATTCAAATTCTTCATCTAGTTGATCTTCTGCTTGTAAAGGAACTGCTAGAACAGTACTTTCTTCAGTTTTAATTTTGAAACTTTGCAAGTCAGTTATTTTATTACCTAGAATTGCATAATTATTTTTCTAAATTATAGTCACTTAATGTAAGAAGTATGGGTGAGTGATTGAAATTAATACCCCATGCCTCTTCTAAATGTATGTAATTTGTGGAAAAATTCCTCACTATGAAGAAATCTATAAGGTCAGGTATTTTGCCTGGATAAGTGGGATAATGTCTCACATTTTAAGCTGATTGCTTGCTGCCAGAAGTTTCTTACCTGTAGTTGTGGTTTCAATCTAGATTCCCAATGAGAGTGTTTTGCATTGAAGTCACCTCCTACAATGGACTTTAAAAAAATGCAGCACTCTTGTGATGTTTTCAACATATCTGCCCCATCTTTACTACTTGGGTATAAACAATATCTGTGATATATTCAATGTTATAAGCCCCTGTGGATTTTTATTATAATTGTAGCTCCTAGTATTAATTAATTCTTAACCAATACACACACAGATTTTATTATTCATTGTTCATTCATCTAAAAAGCATTGTAATTGTATTCAATAAATTTAGCTTCATACCATAGCCAATAAATCTCAAGTAGAATATACCATTACAAAATGCTGGTTATCAAAGCCCACTCCTTGGTAATATTGATCAATATGTTTGTTTATTTTAGGGTGTAGAATATTTACATGCCATGCAACCAAAGCCATTAATACATAGAGACTTAAAACCCCCAAACTTGCTTTTAATAAATGGGGGTGTAAACTTAAAAATTTGTGATTTTGGTACAGCTGCTGATAAAAATACCTATATGACTAATAACAAGGGATCGGCAGCTTGGATGGCTCCAGAGGTAAGTTAGATAAATAATTTTATAATAGGTACTTAAAAATTATAAATAAATAGTGCACAAAACAGAACCAATCGCTAGAGTTTATATGTATATGTTACGAGCAATGCCAATATTGGACAATCCTAGCATTCTACAGCAAATCATATCCACTTCTAGCATTGTACCCCTTTACTGTACAATCTCTGAAATAGACATGATCATCAGATTTTGTATAATTACTGTGCAATGTTCGAATTTCAATAAGAAGTGATGGATCCAAATTTTGGCAAAGCCAAACAAAAATCTATGAGGTTATAAATCCATAATTAACACAGTGCGTACGGTGTGAGACAATATGTGTCTCACATTCGATTTGATCCTTGGACAGCGTGGCACAAATGGTGTACCACATGGTATACTTTCACTTAGACGGCGTGTATTACAAAATGAAAAGAGCCATTCTAGTGAGAGGCTGATATGCGCCGGACATTTGTTTTGATTTTATGAACCTATTTTTGGTAAGGTGAATAAAAAAATGTAATTAGTAAAAATCTGTTTTAGTGGAAAGCTATAATAAGCATATGAAACATCAGAATATTAGTAAGTTATAAAAAAACATGTAAAATTACGAAAAAAATATTATTTCTTGTTCATCTTATGTTCCTGAAAAAAACAAGGAATACAATAATTCTTTTTACACCCATTGCATTGCCAAACTGATCGGGAACAAGTATTAGCTGCAGTGTTCCTGTCATTTGATTCTTTTAAGTCCTTACAACACACAATACAACGGTTTCGTTTATGGTGTACCAAAATGTGTTCTAGTTGTTCTATATCATCTGCTTTTTCGTTTTCCATGTGGTCCACATGATGTTTACCGAATAATAACCTTGCAGCTAACAGCTCTGTGTATTCCGTTATTTGAATTGTTTTCTGTGTTACCTCCTTATATATTAGAAAGGAATTTACTAATGCACATCCAAAAATCAGTCCAACTACTAATTTTCGGTACCACTTATTACCTCGTTTAAGGCAATGAGAATAAGACTTCAGTTGATCTGATAAATCAATGTAGCTCATGCACCTGTTGTAACTAACGACAGCAGTTGGTTTCTCTATTTCATCGCGTCTGTTCTTTATTTTAGTGGTGTCTGCTTGATGTTTTGTTGTAAGCATCATCACGTCATGTTTGTCTTTCCACTTTAGCATTACTATACCAGTAGAACTTTCTTCAGCAACAATTTCATTTTCTTTTTAATTTAGTATTAACCACTTTGGGAGAATTGAGTTTACGATTAGCTCTTACAGTGCCAACTACGTCTGTATTTCTTTCTAATAACTTGGTTGCAAGACTCACGCTTGTGTAATAGTTGTCAGTGTATAAAGTACGCCCACAGTCAAGTAGATTATCCATCAAATGCAACACAACTCCTGCGGAAGCACTACCATCATCAGTCTTATCATTACCAGAATACAGTTTGACATTGTATGTGTACCCACCTATAGTACATAATTTGTACACTTTTAGGCCAAACTTGTGCCGTTTGTTCTTTATATATTGCCTAAATTTAGGCGTCCTCTAAACGGCACAAGTGTGTCATCTATGCATACTTCATCACATGGCACCACTACTGCTTGAAACTGTTCAATTAGCTTCTAGAGAAGTGGAGTAATTTTTCTTAGCCGATCATTTACTACAGATCGGTCATTATTGTCGCTAAAGTGCCACATCTTTAATAGCTCTTCAAAACGATCTCGAGACATTATACTTTTTATTGAATTTGTATACAAAATGTCATTACTCCAGTATGCTTTTATTCGAGGATATTTGACTAATCCCATCCACATGATAATGCCAAAAATTTTTTCCAATTCAGAAGTATTTGTGGGAACTCACTTCTTTTTGTGTTTCCTCTTATTTGACGGTATAGTATAATTTTGTAAAACCTGCTGTGCATATAAATTGGTTTGTTCAACTATATAATTTATTATGTTGTCAGTAAGGAAGATCTTGAAACAATCATATGGTTCTTGATCTATATAATTCTTGTAATACAGATTCCAAATCCATCTACAAAAAGTTTACCTGTTTATTGTTGACAAAATAAAAATAAAGTTCAATAACTTACACTTGCAGAAACCACATTAGCAGTACCTTCGCGAGATTTTTCATCATTTTTCTTGACACGCTTTGTTCGAATAAATCCATTCGAACATATAAAATTATTTATTAATATTTTTAATTTAGTATTCAACTCCATGTTTGACAAAGGTGCACTCACTCTAAAAAAATGATATAATTCTGACAAATGTCATTGTCAAGATCTGAAAAAATTTATGTCAATAGTTATAGTATATAGTTTTTTGTGCACCTTAAAAGAAGACTCCCCGAAAAATCAGTGAAAAATCAGCCTACTCTCAAAGTGAATTTTAGTCCAGCACGGTGCAACATCTCCGTTTGACAGAAATCATTAAGAATCCGTCAAGGATTTAATCTCCAAAAAATAGTATATAGTAGTTTAGTTTCTCCAAATCGGTCAACGATTTGTCCCGCTTGTTAGAAGTTTTTTTTTGCATTTGGAAGCCTCAGACCCACGTGGCTGGTACATCTCTTAATCCAGGATCTTCGTGATAGTGACGTGAATGGACAATAACCCGCACATAGACGTTTTTGAAAGACTTGTTAATTGGTAATTAATATTTATGTATTTGTACTAATTTTATTTATGCTATTTGTTTTTCGCTCTCTATAATAAATCGTTTTGTACCTTTGGATAGCTTTTTGAACCGTTAGTGTTAAGACATTCTGATATTACAGGTAAGAGCTCTCATATTTTTTTAACCAGCAATCTATGCAATACAATCTCTCACATTTTAAGGACATTCTTCATGTGTGTCCTTTATGTAGATAAAAATCTGCTAATGTAATGGAACTAGGAATATGAATTTGCTTTGCGTTTATTTTGACCTGAGGTAAATACCCAGTAATACTTGGAATTACAAAGCAACTAGCATTTAACTTGTGATCAGTAGCTGCAGAATAAATCTGCAAATGAGAAACTTTGGTGGAAGTTGACGTGCCAGAGTTAACCCCGTTAATTTTAATGGTCTGAGATTCTGTGGTGATCCCTAACTGATGTACTAGGTCACTAGTTACAAGGGATAGCTGGCTGGCATTGTCTAAAAGAGCTTTGACATAAATTCGTTTGCCAGATTTGTCAAAGAGATATACTTCAACTGTACTCAGTAATACTATAGAGTTGTTAGGACTAGTTGAAACAATATTTGAGAGTGTAACTGCATTGGTGCTGTGTGAAACATTATCTACAACTTCTGGAAGTGAGCGAGAAGTAGACGGGTGGTTGTCTACAGAACTGTGAGTATTAGAATTCTGAGGGACAGAACTACAGTTACCATTGAGAGACCTTGACGGTTGAGAGTGAGCAGAGTAGTGTGACGTCCTGATCTCCATATGTAGCAAAGAACAACGAAGAATTTTTGAGAAGACATGGCCTCAAAAATTCGACGCCCTTAACCCATAACTTAGGTGATTCTTCTTCGAAAATCCTCGGAGTTAAATGGAATCAACAATCAGATACATTTTCATTTTCACCACCAAATTTTGATTTAGGCCAGTCAATCACTAAGAGAAAGGTGCTTAGTATTCTGATGTCTACCTTTGATCCAATGAATTTAGCCGGTTATATCACTGCCTCTTCCAAAATTCTCTTACAACGTTTATGGCAGGCTAAACTTAGTTGGGATGAACCAATCTTCGATCCAGAATGGTTAAAGGATTGGAAAATTTTACTTGATGGTTTTCAATCCATTCCCCTTTTAAAATTCCCCAGATGTTTAGTATTGGATAAACGAATTATAGATGTTCAACTTCACACCTTCTGTGATAGCTCCCTTAAGATATTTGCAACATGTACTTATCTGCGCGTAGTGTACGAGGATTACTCTGTCTCCTCTCGTTTAGTTTCTTCCAAATCTCGAATAGCTTCTGCTAAGCAAAATCTTACGATACCTCGCTTAGAGTTAAATGCTGTGTTGATCGGAGTTATTTTAACTCAATCAGTTTCGAATGTATTGAGGAGGAATTGGCCGATCGCACAAACTCATATTTATAGCGACTCGTTAGTAGCTCTTAGTTGGATTTTGAATAAAAGGCTTTCGTTGAATCCTTATGTTCATAACCGTGTGCAGAAGATTATTGCCCTAAGTAAGGATTACTCTTTTCATCACATTCCGTCTCAACTAAACGTAGCAGATATTCCGACTCGTCCCAGAGATATTACACGCAATTCCACACTCTCAATATTATGGTTGTCAGGCCCAGAGTTTCTTATTAAGCACCCTCTTGATTTTTCTCAGTTTAAGATTATTCTGATCACGCAAAACTTACCCGAGATTCGGTCAACACAAGTTACGTTAACCACGGCCTCCCCTGAAATACAAGGAAATGAAACCTTAGAATTAATTTTCTTTAAGTTTTCGACTTTCTCCCGCATGCAAAAAGTATTGGCCTATGTTTTTAGATTTATCAAAAATCTCAAGAATAAAAGCTCTAATCTCCCATTGTTCTCATCTTCGCTACAGAATGAAGAAATTGAAGCGGCAACTTTAAGCATTGTACGATACCTTCAATTACGATCATTTCACAGGGAACTATCAGAATTAAAAAGTGGAAAACCTCTTTCGAACAGATCGCTTAGGCAACTAAATGTTTTTTATGATCAGAAGTGTTCGACACTACGTGTTGGAGGTAGACTTTCCAACGCTCCCCATCTCTCTTACAATGAGAAACATCCAATGATTCTTCCTAGTAAGAATCGAATTGTATCTTTGATGATGTATCAAATCCACGTCTCCTTACTCCACAGTGGCCCACAAGTGTGTCTGTCTCATTTCAGAATGAAATTTTGGCCTTTGTCGGGTTTAACTCAAATCAAACAAGTAATTCACAACTGCGTGGTATGCCACAGGTTTAAAGCAAAACCAATCACCCAGTTTATGTC